ACCAGAAGTGAATTCTTAAGTGACAAGCATTAAAACAAGTATAGATACCTGCCCTCCGTAACATAATCAAAATAGAAGATTTTTGTGCAAACTTGTCAAGGAATCAGGTAATCTTGTGCATCCCCAGCCTCATCTTGCTTTTAATGAAACATTCTTTACTCAATGACTTTGTAAAGATATCAGTCAGATGGTCCTCAGTCTTACAGAACTTCATCACCACATTTTGCTTCTCAACATTGTCCCTCAGGAAATCAGTGATGATCCAAGAAAATGTGCCATCCCTGATGTACTTTTTCAATCAGGTCCTGAGTTCCCTTCAAGTATCTCAGGATACGTTTAGCAGCCTTTAGATGGGATTCCCTTGGTGCTGCTTGAAATATTGCACTCATCCGTCAACTCCATCTTCATCTAAGTCAAGCTACACACTTGTGCTCATGGGAGTGTCAAGAACTTTTGCCTCAATCGGATTGAACTTTCAAAGCAGTTCCTTGATGTATTTCTCTTGACATAAAGGCTGAATATGCAACTAGATTTCTTGTCCTGGATCTAGTTTGAATTCCAGAGTCAAGTGGAGATATGAGATTGTCCCATGGATGTGAGAATTGATGTTTCCATCCGGACTTTCTGATCAACTCTTCTTCGATTTAAGCATCAGATTCAGCATCATCAGTTTCACGAGTTTGAGATGGAACCTTCTGGGTAGTATCAGAGGGACCAGGTGCTCCTGTGAAATCTGCAGCAATTTTCTTTGCAACCTGTTTGTTTCCAGGATTTAGGATATCCTTGTCTTCCCTTTCCTTGATCAGCTCCTCCATCTCATGGTCTCCCTTCATCACTCCTCCTCTACTTTGAATTCTAACAGGTTCACACAGATTCATGTAGAGAAGTTCCAAAGGTCTGGTAGTGCTCACACCCTTCTTTGCCTTGAAAGAAAATCTTGTTTGTTTGACTTTTGCACAGGCGTCACAGACTTTGTCATTTGAGAACTTCAGCTTTGGTAGTCCGCGGACCAGGTCCCCTGCAACAAGCTTGTTAAGAAAAGAGGTACTTACATGACCCAGTCGTCTATGCCAAAGATTTGCATTATCAGTTTGAGCACTCGGACATGACAAATTGTTTCCCTTCAGACATGAACTTGACTTCATTTCCCTTGTTGCAAATATGAAACACACTTAAGAGATTAAACTACAGACCATCCACATAGTGTACACTTTCTATGGAATGATCTACAGTTCTTCCTATTTTGCCAATTCCAAGAATAAAACTTTTCTTTCCGCTGCCAAAAGACACACCACCACCTTGGTGTGCTTCCAAAGAGAGGAAGTTAAGAGTATTTCCAGTCATATGCCTTGAGCATCTACTATTCATGTACCAACATTGACTGCTCCCTCTCTTCTGCACACGAATCACTTATTAGACTTAGGAACCCACTTCAGACGGAGTTCCCAATAACTATCAAAAGGCTTAATAAGAAACCTTCCTGTCCAGGGGGGCAAAGTGTTCTTACTGAAACGATAACGGGGACCAGGTCCCTTGAGTTCTCTTTTATCATTGTTTTCAGATCTGACAAATTTCTCATGCTTTTCTTTTTCTTTTCTCAGAGTCTCAGACTTTTCTTTTAGATGACCATTACGCCCATAGTGAGTGCACAACAGATTGTCAGATACAGACACATATTTGCTATGAGGATTATAAGGAGGTTCTATTGGTCTACGTCCCAACCCTTTCTTTCCATTGAAGCTCTGATTAGACAGATTAGAAAGTATCTTAGAAGAGTCAGTCCATTTTAGAGAGTGACTTAACTCCTCCTTGACCTTACTCAGATCCTTTCTCAGTTGAGAATTTGTTTCAAGAGAAGCAACTAACTTGGACTCAAGGATTTTAAGCTTTTCTTCCAGTTCTTCCTCAAAGATGCTAAGCTTTCTCTTTCCACCTACTGCGGTACTAGGGTCCTCTTCAGGTATAATGTTGTTCGTTTCTAGAGTCCCTATTCTTACACTCATTTCAGAAACTTGAGACATGAGAGCAGAGTTCTCATCCTCACACAAACTTATTTTTTCATTCAACATTAAGTTTTCAGTGGTTCGTTCATCAACAGAGTCAATAAGCAATGCAGCAAGTTTCCTCAAATTTTTAATGGGAAGAGTATCTAGATCATCTTTAAGATCAAAAAGAGTTACCTCATTTAGATCCTCTTCATCATCAGATTTTGCCATTAATGAGAAGATGGAATTGAAGACATTTTCATCATCTTTAATAGCAATCATTGAAACATCTTCATAACTTTCTGCATCTTCTTCTGACTCACTTGAATCATTTCCCCATACAGCAAGGGCTTTTCTCACCAATTGATCAGCATGAGCCTTTCTCCGAGCACTGTCTGGGACCAGGTCCCTCTTGCGAGGTCTGAAGTTCTGAGTTTCCTGCTTTTGGCTGGGATAGTCCCTCATAAAATGACCAGGTTTGCCACATTTATGACAAAGGTCATTTGTGTTTGCTGCTCTGCTGGTCGAAGCCTTCTTTTGAAAGACGTCATGTTTCTTGATGATTTTCTGAAACCTTTTAGTAACATAGGCCATTTCATCCTCCTCCTGAGTCGCATCATTTTGTGAGTTTTTCAGAGCAATAAATTTCTCCTTCTTTCCCTCCTTCATGTTTGTCCCCTGCTTTTTGTTCAGCTCGTAGGTCTGGA